GGTGTTTTCAAAAGGTTTTTTTTTCGATATTGCAAAATCTGTTACTGCCACTCTGCGCACATGTATGTAAGCCTCACTGCTCTCACATATAAACAAAAAGTCATTAAGAGATTGTCTCAGATATTTTCTATTGGTGGCGCCACTGAATAGATGCTTGTCACATGGTAATAAATCACATGCAGTTTTACTAAACAAAGGGAATTTGCGAGATACAGCTACACTCCGCTTACTTTCCGCAACATCGTCAGCCCGCCGATTAAATATCTGGTGGATTATCTGCTTAATAATATCTTTGAAATGCAAGCCATGTTTGTTTTGCATCATTACCGTGTGAAAATTCGGTCTCAATGAAATTTTTATGTGCAAAATTGGCAATAGTTGTGGAAACTTTTTCTTTATTCGAGGACATTTTGCATTCGGAAAATAAAGATGAAATGAAGTTTTGATTTAAAATGGCTGGTGTCGTTGTGTTGCCTCTGTAGCATGAGTTCGCAGGGCATAACCATTATTTTGAACTATGTGCGCTACAAACTCAAAACGAGTTTTTTGAAGATTGATAAAGTTGTTTCTATCTCCTAATTCTTCAAACTTGAGCATGCGACAATCCAGTGAACAAAACGGACCAGTTTTTTGAGTGTATGCATTTTCAAGAGTAACTAGTGAAAGAAATTTTTGAAAAAAATCTAATGAACTGTGAGTTACTTGGTTGGTATTAGGTTAGAAATCATTTCGCACTGTGGTTAAAAAACTAGTGGACTTCTTTGTGGAGTTCGTTTCTTTGGAATGAAAACTCTTGTTTTTTTTGTTTTGCCGTCTTCCATTTTCTGATCATACAAGGTTTGCTGCCTGATCGTGTTTTTTACTCTGTTTCTTAAGGCTTGTTTCGGTGTTTTCTTCCGAGTTGCTACATCGATCATTTCGAGTGCTGCTTGAACAAGTAACTCCTTTTCAATGCGTTTTGCTGTTGGTACTACAAATTTTTGAGCCCAATACCTAATACTACGCTGTCTGTACTGTCCTCAGAATTGTGGCATGGTCGCTTCATTATGATAAAACGCATTCATAAACTTAATCAAAAAAGTTTTGATATCTCAAAGTGAAAACAACCTTTCCTTCTCCTCCTGCAAATGGTACGAATCTACCGGCTTCCGTTCGAAGACTTACGGCAATGTTCTTTATGTTATTTAAGAGGAATTTTTATAATTCAGTTGGCTAAAAACTTTTCAAGGATTTGATTGGATGCCGCAAGCCTAACCGTTTTTCACTCTTCGATTAGTATCAATGACTCATAATAATGGTTCTCTGGTGTCGCCCACAATCTGATGATGAGTGAAGTCCAAGAAGATGAACATCCTTTGGGTTCCAACAGAGATATCAACAGGGTGGTCGGAGACCAGACTTCGTGATATGAGAATATTATGTATAGCACTGGATTCTTCATAATTAATATGGTAGCCAATTCTATCTCGTAAACCTTTGAAATCTAAAATACTAGTAATCTTTGGACTCGCAAATGAACTACCATATACTAATAATGCATCCATAATGAAAATCGTTTGGTAATCGGGTCGAACCTGTAACTGAAATTTTCAAAATCAACCTTAAAGATCTTCCGATTGATTTCGTTGAATAGTTTCTCGATTTCAACATATTAACTTTTTTTGTGATTTCACCTGTCTTTCGTTCATATTATATACGTATTTTATGTTTTTTCACGTTAAGGCTTGCTTTAACTTGCCTTTTTTGAAGCACAATCTTTTTGTTTTGTTAAAATTCTTGGGAAACGTTTTTTCTGTCAATGCAACTCTCCATTTACCTTGTTTTATCGATATCTTTGCCTAACAAATTTTACTGTCTGTACTGTCCTCCGAATGGTGGCATGGTCGCTTCATTATGATAGTACGTCTTTATAATTTTCTGTAATTAAAAAAATTCATTGAAAAAAAGTTCCTTGAGGCAAATCTTATGGGACTTATGGAGTCCATGATTTTCATTATAGGCATTATGTTTTTTATATTGGATGAAGTTTTCAAGCAAAACATGCGCTGCATGTGGTTTTTATCTGATGTACATATGCTTCCAAATAGGACAAAATCTACTGCTGCCATTTCTATGCTGTCAAAAACTTTGAATAAAATTGAAGGATATGTCTGATTAGGTAAAACCCATGTTTGCTCAATATATTATCTCGTTTCTTTTCAAGACTTGTTTTTGGATCGATTAAAAAGACTGATTTTTGAGATTTTCGATACCGACAGGCACATTACCGTTGACCATGTTTAGTAAGCATTCACAAACAACTGATAAAAATTGGACTATTTGATGTTTTTTGAATTAGCATAGCCCCGTAGCTGATTTCGTTTCAACTGTACCATGAGCTGCAAATTATATATATATATTCGCGTTTATTCGTGTCTCCTCTGCCTTATTTAATGGTAAATAGATATTGAAGTTTTAGGTGGTATCATGATTGAACAATTTCTGAGGTAGTTTGACGTTTTGGGACCTAAACCTAATACTAGATGTCCAAAACTGTCTTTTTTAGCCAGTTCAAACAAGTTTTGTAAAAATTTAGGTACCTTAACTTGCATTCCGTGATAATCAAGTTTCTAAGAATCCTAAGGTGATTTGAATAAAATGATCATCGGCTTTTGTTGGAAAAAATTATGTTTTTACATAAATAGTATCTAAGCCCTTGTGTCTTCCTATCGTCGCTAGTTTAACGAATTCTTCATCCTTTTATATTTCTTTGCATAAGTCATCAATCATTAGCAGAACGTTTTCAATCTTTCTCAAACGACCAAATCAATCGAAAATTGCAATTTCTATTTTGTTTCGGAGAGCGGTTAACTTTTACCGAATTACAGGTTGAATATCTTTGTGAAAATGTAATACTCAGTCAAATTTGGTATGAAAAATTCTTCGTGTCATTAACTTGAAAACCAAATATGTTTTTCCAGATTCCGAAGGTCGAATGACTGTCATAAGCAGCTTTGACGATGTATCAATAGTTTAATTCATAATTCCGGAATTGGTAGCAAGTACGCAATTAAACCAGACAAAATTGCAAACCAAACTGATGTTTTTTCACAATTCAGTTGCAACCAAGAAAACTTATAGATACAAAAACTTAGTAATATTCATATAAAAGCCATTTGAGACGTAAAAATCACTTCTGATCTGGGGACAAAAAGCTCATTACAAAATTTCCAAGATTTTCATTCGTTGCTACTTTGATCATTAAAAAAATCTGTAAATTTTGTCGCACCAGGGTCATCAATTGCTTTTTAGGCTTTTTCAGATTTTCTATTTGGCTTCTTTCTCACTTGCTCTTTTTTTCTCTCTATCTATCTTCGAATCTTTTTCTATATCAACTATTGCTTGACAAAAAAATACGCTGATGTCATAAAAGATAATTGTTATTTTTCTAAACAATAAAGATCTTGTATCGAGTATAATTTGTGTAATCTTTATTTATTTCATTGATATTGGCATCGATTTCAACTACCTTATTGGCTGGAAGTTTTCTTTTACTAATTTTTGAACTTCTTCAGGAAGGTCACAGCTGCTGAGGTCCATTTGTGTTCTGGGGTGACGTTTGCGCACTAATACTAGCCTGGGAAGATAAACACGTTGCTTTCTGGCTAACACTTGGAATATAATTGTGAATATGAAAGTAGATGAATCAATCAATCACGAGAAATAAATCTTCTTAAAATAGACAGCTCTTCACCTGATAGTGTAATTTGTTTTTTTTTCCGCTGATCCACTCGACTTTGACAATCAATTTGTTCTATTTTCGTTGAGATTATTTCATGTCACTCTCTGGAGTCAATCAAGCACATAACACTAAATTTGGGATTAGGTACGTCTCCAAATTTTTTTCTTGTATCTCGTTGCTGTTCATATTTCAGCCAATCATAGAATTTCATGTTTGATTATCGACAGAGTGGTTCCCGGAGTTTTACTGAAGTAAATGTTTAGTGCAAGCTGAATGGATTTTGAAAAGTAAATTTTCAAGTCTCAGGCAAACTAATTCATCGCGATTCTCAACTTTTCGATCCAGCTACTCTTGAAGCAGTTCGTTTTATCTTTCACTTCGTCGTGAAATACGGCGTTAGGATTTTGCAAAAGAACATTTTGAACAATCTGATTGAGGGTCAAACATAAACAATCACCGCTTTTCCAATGAATTCCGTGATTTGAAAAAACTGTAGGAAGAAACATTAGAGAACGACTGTTGTCAGAATTTATAATGGCTGATTTTCTATCTATAAAAGTATTTTTATGGCAAAATCCTTCCAATTTTAGCACAACTGATTGTTCATTCAACATTCTAAAAAATGATAGAGTTTTGATCTCGTTAGTTTGTTGAAAAAACTGAAATTTATACCACTCAAATGGCCAATTAATCTTCCAGGGCAACAGATAATAGTAGGCACTACCAGTGTTAAAACCTTCCTGAACAAAACCTGCGTTATCATGTAAGATATCATGCAGTCGTAGTATTTTCGAACTCTTGCTTGTATAAGAACTCGTTGTTGAACTCGCTCTTTTTTACAAAACCTGGGTATAAATGACCATAGATCAGTTATATCTGTTCAAATATCTTAAACTGAAGACTTGGAAAAAATCACCCAAATAGGCCGGCTAAATTTTTACTTGGAAATTATGCAGCGAAGCCATGTGAATACCACTCTTTAAACCCCTATGAAACATGAGTGGCCGAAAATTTAGGAGGTTTAACCACTTAGGGGTATAAACGTATGTAATGTAATGCCACACCGAACTCTGCGGGGGGGGGGGGGGGGGGGGGGGGTTTGAAGTGTAATTTTTCAGTCAATTGTTAATACTACTGGGAATATTTGAGCCGCGAGTGGTTCGAACTTTTAGGTGCGCGCTTTTAAGATTTGAAATTCGAACACCCGCCACCGCACAAGCGCATTTAAGCCCACTTCTTTGTTTCAGTATTGGGTGCAATTTAGTTTAACGATTTCTGCCTGGTATGCTGTAAGGACTGTAGGGTTTGAGTTTGATATGGTGCACATCACCTGGGGTAACGTCAGGAATGTGCAACATCTGCTGCTGCATGGTGATTGGAATAATCACTTCAGGAAATTTCCCATCAAGTTCTTGTACTATCACCTCCTTAAACGAACAAAATAGGTAAGAAGGAGCAACAAAAATGTCTTTTGTCTCATATCCCATTATTCACAGAGTCTGAGTTTATTTTTTCTATATATATTGTACATCCAAAATAATTAAGAAGGGCGGATCTAGGATTTGGGGGTGGGGGGGGGGGGGTTGCGAATTTTCAAAAAATTTTCCCGAAGGGGGGGCTTATTTTCAAAAAAATTTGATGACCTTTTGATTTTTTTAGATCTCCCAAAGCATTAAAAAGACACTGTTTTGGACAAATTTTCTGCGCCGAAGGCAAAACTTCGAAAAAACAGGCCAAAAATTAGTACTTTTTGGCACCTAGAGCGCCTTTAGAAAATGTTTAGGGTCCGTCACCAAAAATGGATATCTCAAGATAGCAATGATGGACACCTTTTGGGTCAGCAGGGTGGTTTGAATCCCTGAAAGAAAGGCGTCCGCCACATACCCCCCCCCCCCCCCCCCTAAATTCGCCCTTGATGTCCCGCATGACTGAAAACGTAATCTTTTCGAAATTTTTCATCTCAGTTTTGAAAAAAGTAATTCGAATTTTTGCTTATGAAACCTTGGTTAGTTCGTGCTGTTGTTTTTTTTGTTTTACGTGAGATATCATTTATTGATTTCTAATATCAATTGAATAACTCTAATCGAAAAAAAATCAAATTCGAGTTATCTCTATTCCCCCTCCATCCTCCCTGAAACAGCACAAATTGTTATTTTCTTTCTTAGTTTTCCTTCAGTTGCAACAGAAACTAGCCGGATTGTCGGAGCAGTCTACAATCTTGGCAGCTACGGGCTAAAATCTTAGACAAAAGTCTTTGATAACGGCTAAACAGTAAAATAGCAAAAAGTTGAGCGGATTTTTCAGAAATAAAGACAAGCATTATCAAGATTGCATCAAAATTACTTGAGTGTATCCATCATAGAAAGAACACTCGACGTCTACTGAGAAATCCGGCCGATTGATCACTGCCTCCGACACCATGGGAGGCGCGAGGGGTTTGGTGTAGGCCACGGTGGAGAAATTTCTCATCAGGGGGACTTGTCCCTTACTGTATGGTTGCACATTTATAGTGTACTTGTCGCCTGGCATCAGGTTCGTGAACACCATATCATCAAAAGTTGACCTGAAAATAAACAGCAAATAATTTTTTGGGTCGAAAAAGGGAAAGAATGCGCGGGTTGCACTTCCAGTATTCGCAATTGGATAATTTTTGGTTAAGAAAAGATTGAAAATCATAGTTTGGAATTTGTCAAACTTCAAGAGTGAAAACTCTACTCGCACGAAAATATATCAAAAGATTAACATGCCTCAACTCAGTTTTAAACGATTTTGTAGTGCGGTTTAACTTGGCAAGCATAAATATTTAGCTTCACGCTTTCAGCATCATACATAAAATCTGCACAGTGGGCATAAACCTCCAGAACTTAACAAAATGCAGCAGAAGGAGAAATATAATTCTAGACAAGACTGCTCGCACCAGGGCAAAGCTCTGAATGTTCCGACTGTCCATTATTTAGTTAATTAGTCTCGAATAGTTTTTTTGGAAAGAAAATTTTAGCAAAACTATAAATTTTAGGCTGATAATATCAAAGAGTTAAAATTTGAGTCGTTTAAGGAAATAAAAAGAGAAATTAGCGTGCCTCATTTCAATTTGGAACGATTATGAGGGCGGACTATTTGCCACGCATAAGCAATCAACGTATTAAAACAAAATTCAAAGTATTATTCCAGCAGCCAAGCCGCACTTTAGTCTAGTTCAAGCACACTCGCATATAAATTCAAGGTTTGCAGGATTGCTGCCCATACGCAGTCAATTTTGCTAAAACCGGTCAGAAAAAAACCCCCAAGCATATATATTCCTCACTTTCTTTGAAAGTCGGAACAAAAACAATTCAGAGAGATGATGTTTTCAAAAAAGCAGAAAATAATTTGTTAAAATCTTTGAATTTGCTTGCCGAAATTTGATTGAATGAAAAACAGAACAAGACTGCTCGTATCATGGCGAAGCCCTGAATGTTCCGACTGCCTATTAAGGTTTATGGAGCAGTAATAACAATTAAAAAAATTTAAAAAAAAAACCAAAACGAAATGATTTTTTTTAAAATTTGAATTTTTTAAGGAAAATCATCCCCCCACACGCCATAAAAAGTACAAAAAGATAGGTTTTGCTACTTGTAACAAATCAATTATGGCAAATAAGCTTCGTTAAACCAATTTGGAACGATTTCAAGAACGGATTAAATCTCGGCTTACTCATTAAAAGCGCGAAATTTATCGCGCGTTAATTGTCAAAAAATTGGCCAAAATGGCAACCTTTAAACACCCATAACTTTACAAAAATTATCACCGGTAAAATATCTTTTCAAATTTGAGCTCAAGACAACAATACCTTTCGAATGATATAAAAAAGATTTGTCAAAAATGGCTAGTTAAAATGTCGAAATTTGTCTGAAGAAAAAAAAACCCACCCCGAGCAGAAATATTCCGTTACTTTCGTATTGAAAGTCGGAACAACAAGCATAAGTTTTCCGCTTTTACTTTGAAACAATCAGATGAAAGAGCGCAAAAATGGTGCAACATTGCGGCCAAACACCCAGATATTTATCAAAATATTCTCAGTTGAAACATGTCAATTCCTTTGATTTCTAACACTGATAATTATCACCAATTGCTAAATGAAATGTTGACGTTTCATTTTGTCTTTTTCTTTTTTTATTGCTAAATTTAAAATTATTTAAATTATTTTACGAAAATTTATTTTTTTTTGGAATTTTTTTTAATTGATTTTTTTTTGATGGTGCTCTGGCAAATTCTTAGGCCGGATAAAGAATGACCAAGCAGATTTGACTAAAAGATGAGTCATGAGAGTGAGAACAATAAGAACATCTGTCAAAGCTAGAAATTGAACGAATTGAGATGTATCAGCTTAGATTAATTTATGCGCTCTTTGATCTTTTTGTTTCCAGGTGAAAGCGGAAAATTCAATTGTTGAATGTTGCGATGTTTTTTTTGTGAGTAAAAAAAAATTGGCAATCGAACTTATGCACTTACACCGCACTACAAAATCTTTCCAAATCGAATTCAGTAATGGTAATCGGTTGTAATAATTTAGTAATACGCGAAGTTTCAGACTTGATGTTCAATATTGTCAAAACGCTTATGAGCGAAGACAAGTTTTGTTTATTTGCACGAAAAAAATAAAATAATTACACACTAAATCACTATTACACCACTTAAAATTTTTTAAATTATTTTGTTGGTTTTACCCAATTTTGTTCGTATGGAAAAAAATCATAATTGGTTTAAAGGGTTTGAGATTTCAGAGCTTCGAGCTGATATGATCAATCTCTTTCAAAAATATTCGTTTAATTCAAACAACACAGCTCGTATCTGGGAAAAACCCTGAATCTTCCGATGGCCAATTAATGATTCTCGATTAGTTTTTAGTAAATGAAATCTTGACAAAATACAAAATAATATCAAAATATTTAAATTTGAGTCGTTTGGAATTAATAAAACCAATTAGTCTGCCTCAATTCAATTTCGAACAATAACGAGTGCCAAGCACAACTAATTTGCGCATTGAAGCAAAATATTTAAGTATTATTGCAGCAGTCATAGCCGCACCTTACTCTAGTGCAACACACTCACTTGGCAATCCCAAGATTTCCGGATCGATGCTTATACGAAGTCAACTTTTCTACAATCGGTCTGAAAAACAAACTACCCCTGGCATATATATTTATCGTTTTCATCGAAGGTCGGAACAAAACTACAGCTCTACACTGTTGATATCAGAGAAAGAACGTGAACAAATATGAGTGCAAATTCAACTAACTTTAAATCTTTTAAGCGGAGACCGAGCAAGCGGAACTCAATAGCCCTGGGTATTGGCAGTACCCATCAGCCTGTCTATTTTTTGGTTCACGTTTTAGAATTATGAAAAAAAAACATTTTTGTCGAAATATGACAACATTTTTCCCCCAGTCTCGCAAGATGCCAAAAACAGAATGATGGTAACGCTTTATGGCTAAAACGAGTTCTGATCCGGATTACAACGACGTACACAATATAACACGCTGAAATAGAGTACCCAAAATCAGTATTGCTCAAAATTTATTTGGTGAAACATTAATTAGAACAAGGATAGCCGGTATTTGTGCAAGTAGCTTAGAATATTCCGACCAAAGTAAATTTTTTTTTTTTTTTTCAATTAGTGGTTTAATTTTTTTCTGCGTAGTGTGATAAAAGAATCTGGAAGAGGAACAACAGTTTAGAATTTTTCAAGAGAGGTTGTAGCAAAATGAAAAAAGCAGCAAAAAATTTTTTTTTAAATCCAAAAAAATTTTCAGTTTTTTTCGCAGTTTTTTTGTTACTTTTTGAAGTTTTCAATTCAAAAAAGTTGCTGAAAAATCTAAAAAACAAACTTACTCGACTAAAAAAGTAAGTTTTTGCGGCTTGACTAACTAAGCTTTGAAGCTAATCAAATAGTTCATTGCAAGCCTGCTCTCTCGCTTCACTCGCTCGAAATTAGACGAAAAATCAAAAACTTCAAACCGGTTTTTACCAAAACTGGGATAATTTTGTGAAAATTTTTAATATAGTTCAAATTAGAACTGAAAGCGCTTTCATATGCTTTATCACTCAATCCAGTCCGATGATTGTTTGTGTTACCTGATTTAGTGTGGAACAAAAATTAAAACACATCTGAAAATAAAGTTTCTCCTCATTTTTCACATGGTCGGAACAATAAAAACAATTACTGATTCTGAAATAGTTAGTTAGTAGAAAATAATTGCTTTAGATCATTTTTTTACATAATATTGAATGCTGTGGAAGTTTTTTTTTTGGTCCATCAGCGCTGATTAAATTTTACAACAGAACTGCATTTATAGAACTTACAGCATTAGTTTTTTGTACAATAGTTATGAAAAAAATTTGGCCATGAGAGAAGTTTATAAGAGCATTTTTATTGGATTTCTGAATAATTACCAATTGATTGCAATTAATTCTATTTGTTTAACTGCTCTTATATCAGGGCAAAAGCCTGCGAATTTTGACCTCCCCTTAAAAATGAAGAAGAAAAAATTTGCTACGAGAAATCGATCAAAACTCACAAGAACATAAATAATCGAATTCGGTTGATACAAAACCTCTCCAAAATTGGCAGATTTTATCACTTATTTCCTTGGTGAGAACGAATAAGGAATACAATTTGGCTGACAAAGTTTTGGCGCATTCAGTTCATCGCGCAGGAGTGGTTTTGCTTTAATTATGACAAAATATTTGTGCTCGCGGTGGTTTTTTTTCTCCAGACAAATTTCAACTTTTTAAGTTTCAATTGAGAAATTTGTTTTTATTATTCTTTAAGTGTTGATGCCATGACCTCAAATTAACAAAAGTAATTCATCTGTGATAGTTTTTTGTCAAGTTATGGGGGAGGGGCTTAAAAAGTGCCTATGTTGCTAATTTGGGACAGTTATCGCGCGAATTGTTCCAAATTGGATTCAGGTATCTTTTTGGTCTATTCAACACACTGAGTTTTACATAGCTTTACTTTTGTGCTCGACATTTTGTGCTTTACATAGCGTGTGAGGGGATGATTTTTATATTGGACCGATCTTAATTGTCGCTCGCGGGTGCTATACGAACGCAACATATCACAAGTTGGTTAACCCAAATTAGCCGAAACAATTTCAAACCCTGATAATATCACGAGTGAAGTAAGTTATCACATCATTTGAGCTGGGAGGGATTATCACATCATTTTTCAAATGATTCAGAAAACCTAGTCAAAATTTTTAGTTAAAAAGTCAAATTTCGATTGAATAAAACAACTACCTCAAACATAAATATGCAGGTACTCTTCTTCGAAAGTCGGAATGATTAATTTCACATAGATAAACTTTGCACAAGAAGAAGGCGCTGTAACAGACTACTGCAAGTTTGGCGCGCATTAATTATCTCAAAATTTTCATACTGACAATTTTCAAGGCATTCATTACGAGGCCAAAACTGTGCACTATTTAGGCGCACAATTTGGTGTTTGTGTGTCAATCGAATCCATATTTCAAAAAATAAGCGGATTCAACATTCAAAACTTTTGAAGGTTCCGCGCACAAG